TGAAGTTAAAGACGCATTTTTTGCTAAATTAATTGGAGATTTTGTCATCCTGTTGGCTGTTTCTGCACGCCGTTTACTGAACCATAACAATGTAATGCAGGACCAAATAGAATGAAAGAAGAGAAAAAATTCCAATTATTCTCAAAAGTAATCTCTAGTTATACTAAGCCTGGTATTTATAGGCTTCTCAAAATGGTTCAAAAAGGAACTGAACAAAACTAATTGCCAAAATAATAAAGAAATTACATAATTCAGTCCTAAATCATAAAATGATACTAAATACAATTCATAGCCCCCAACCTTCAATCGTGCATCATCCAATCCCTTTGCATTCCCCATCACGATGTTTGCTTATTACTGACTTGTGCCGTAATACCACCATGGTCCGAATTTCAATCCTAATTTCCTGTAAGTGCCTGCCAGCATATTCGCTTGCTTACCAGATTAAAAAAATGCAAAGAAAAGTTTCTTGTGTTGACAGCTGCATAGTGGCACATAATCATAAAGGGAGATGAGTAAATGTTTTGATTATTAAATGTGTATTCAGATCGTGGAAGATAGATACTAGTTGTGTATTCCCTATAATTTGAGACTGAATGAATATTTTACACTGAGAAGAATGATTCTGAACATCGTTGCTTTACCTTCCGAGACCATCATTACATTTTGTTTTCTGCCTTTTTCAGAAAAAAAGAATGTGTTCGTCTATTCCCTACATATTGGACCTCTTATTTCTTTATCTTGATTTCTTTTGCAATATAGAAATGCATAAGTTTCCTTTATAGATTGACATGTTTTTTTGTAGTTGCTGAAAAATTTGGTTGAGAGAAGGAGAATGGTGAAGTCATGGTTAAAAACTGCATCTGGTCTGAAGGTCCAGCAGCTTGACATACAACAGCAAGCGCTGAAGCTCACTGCAAATAGGTGTGTTTATTGCTCATGCTGTTTTTTGTTCCTTTCACTATAGTTATCTTTGGTTCTTCATGGTTTTGTTTTCTTCCCCCTTCAACCCTCCACCTATCTGTGGGCTGCAACATGTATGGATGCCTGGGGTTTTCCAATTCCAGATTCTATGCAAAGCCACTTGCAGAGCTTATAACACTACACGTAAGAAATATGTTCTTATGGTAGAATTGCAATTAGAAAGACTCTCAAGAGGGCAGATTTTGCCTGAGCACAATAATATCAACTTACATTATTTTTGTGCAGGGATGGGAGATCCTACAAAGTACTGTTGATCTTGTCCAGAATAATTTAAATTTAGAGGTTACTTTTTGTTTAGACTCAGATTTTATGAATNCCACTCATGCTTGAATGCTATGCATTTTATTACTGGATAATCTAAAGGATCTAGTTTGTGGAAATGTAAAACAGGTACAAGAGGATATGAGGAATGGGCAAGTGCCACTGGAGAAATATGTCATTACAAAGTCATTGACTAAACAACCTGAAGCCTACCCAGATGCGAAGAGTCAACCTCATGTTGAAGTGAGTCCAAGAGGAAGCACTGTTTGATCTATCCAATTTGAACCTTCTTTTCTACTTTACCTCTCTTGGAATGCTTTTTCTGCATGTCCTCCACATCAATCTAGTTGTATGTATTTTTTTACTTCGTCTGTTCTTCTTTAGGTAGCACTTAGATTGAAGAAAAGTGGTTATGTCACTGGTTGCTCTGCTGGAGATACAGTTCCTTATATAATCTCTTGTGAGCAGGTCTGTCATGGTTGGCTTGCTGCCTTCTTGTGTTTTATATCAACTTACATGACAACTCTCTAAAATCGTCTCTTTTCATTTATGAAATGCAACACCAAGATTGTGCACTTTTTTATGGACAGGGAAATGGTTCCAGTAGTTCAACAGGGATTGCTCAGCGGGCAAGACATCCTGATGAACTGAAAACAGACAACGGAAAATGGATAATTGACATTGAGTATTACCTGGCACAGCAGGTCTTGCTTCTATCTTTTGATCTAAACACGTGTCATGGCTAACATTGTTTTTCCAATATACTCATGAGCCAGGAAGCTAAGAAGCTTTGTTCATCTTGTGCAGATTCATCCTGTGGTATCACGTCTATGTGCATCAATTCAGGGTACAAGCCCAGCACGCTTAGCTGATTGTTTAGGGCTTGACTCATCCAAGGTAATGAGTGTCTTCCCTCCAAGCCATCCTTATGTTTATCACATCACCTTTCCAGTATGGTATAGGTAATTAACATCACGAGTGATGGGTTCTTTTAGTTCCAAAGTAAATCAAGTGAAGCTGTCAACAACGATCCTTCCATCTTACTTTTATGTGCAGTAGATGATGAGGAAAGGTAACCATTTCTCTTCTTCTAATGTTGCAATTGGTCCCCGCAATAAGATTGTAATTGAATTCCAAATTGTTAAAGGGCCTGATTGATGCCTGAATTTCAGTGAAGGGTATTTGGGTTAATATTGTAATCTTCAATTCAAGCCATCATATATATACTAGAATTCAATCAGGTGATGTGTTATGTATACATCAAACCATTGTATATATCACTGTTCGAACAAATATTTCATGAAGAAAACTGGAATTTTAAGAAATTGCTTTTAGCTTTTCAAGTCACTAAGATGGACTTTTTTTTCTTATTGGTATTATTTTTTTTTCATTGCAAGTACTCCTGTCCTTGTCACTTGAACCTGGATCTTTACTTAATTTGGCCTACCAATGGTAATGTGCGTTGCAGATACCGGGGTTGTGAGCCTTTGGTTGTGTCATGTCCCAGCTGCTCTGGTACTTTTGATTGCCCACCTGTATTCAGTTCCGTATGTTTATCAATCAGTGGAAAGCCAACAGACGCGCAAGCAGGGGGTTCCACCAGCAATTTCTGGTGCAACTTGCATTGCCCTAAATGCCCAGAGGAAGGCGAAGGGGGTAGAATATCTCCTGTACTGATAGCCAACCAGGTACTTCTACTGTGGTATTTTGAACAACTTAATCTATTTAAATTGACATCATCTAGAATTATGGATCCTAGACTTCCATTAGCACATTATATGTAGCAAGAGATCCAGAGGGAAAATGTCGTGGCATGAATCTAACCTGTTTTACTTTATGCTACAACCCCCAGGAGCAGAACGGATTCCTGAAAACATATTCAGAATGGTATCAAAAAATAGAGTCCAGACCATCTGATTGGGGTATATTTTTTATATCAACAACGTACTCATTAGGCCTGTCAATCATGTCGGGTGAGGTCGCTTCGTGTCGAGAAGTACCTCACTCCACATTCAATTCGTTTATTAATTCGTTTCTAACAAGTTGCATTATATTAGGTTCGTATCTTGTATGAACTATGTGTAACAAGTATATATCATATCGGGTCCACTTGTTTACGAAATGAGAACTTAAAGAAGACATAAACCCTCTAATTTTGTATTTTGTTAATGAGTTGTGCCATATTTTAATACCCCTAGTCCTCACAAAAGCTATATAATGGTCAAAAGTTCAATCCAAACCCATTAATAAGGGAAAGTCTATGGCATTGTATCAAAAATTACAATTTTTTAAGGCCAAGGCGTAAGTTGCAACTTACAANCCTGAAGGTAAGGAGACAAGATCCCATGTATGATTACGCTGAAGAGCGTCCATCTCTGTCTGCATGGCAAGAACCCACTCGGGCTCCCGCATAGCTTCCGAAATAGAGCGAGGAACCGGCGTATCTGATAAGGCTATAGTATAAGCTCGAAATGTGGGGAGACAGATCACCATAAGAAACATAAGCAGAGATCGGATATAAAATCTTGGCGGTCCAACCATATCGATCAACTGGACGGCGATCACGCCTTGGATAACGACGCCCTAAATCACCATCCTCTACTGATAATATCTTATCAGGTAAAGTAACTGGCTCAGCACCTGTAATCTCATCAGTACTAACAACAGGTGCATCAATATGCTCAACAAACTGAGAAGTATTACCTGCATCGCCTGAGGTAGAGGGGATATCAGCAGGGTGATGAGAGCGAGGACAACGAGCATACACCTGCAAAG